CCCTTGGCCTGTCACTACATGCCTTTGTTTAAACAAAGCTAATTTCATTAAAGAAAAAGAAAAAAGAGAAAAAAAAAAAGAGAGGGAAAAAAACCCCACAGGATGAAACAGGTCAGATTCTCAAGGAAAATCCTGTCCATTGGAGATCCTTTCCCAATAGACATGGCCACCTCTTTGCTCGCTTCAGTGCAAAGAAGAATCCCAAATTCTGTCCTGTCAAAAGAAACACCTCTTGTTTCATGCAACATCCAATACCTTCATGGCAAGGACAAACCCACGTCTGCTTCACTGCTGGAACGGGATGTCTTTTCCAAACCCAGTTTTTCAGTAATAATATCCTTGATGTCCCTCTTCCAAACCTCAGCAGCCTCCTGTGAGCCCACAGCTACCCCTGGGTTAAGCCTTCCTGGACACCGTGGGCTTTTCCTCACACTTTCAGCTGCTCCCCAGCTGAGGGAGAAATCAGGGATTTTTGAATATAAACCAATGACAACTTCCTTTTATTTATTTATTTATTTATTTATTAATAAATTTAAGCTTGAAACTTGCCATCCATATTACAGCATTTCCCTTTATGCTGCCCTCCTCCTAATGAATGCAAGCACAGCCATCAGAGCTGGGGAGGAGAAGCAGCTTTTGCTTTGAAAAATCAACTCCTTCCAAAATAAATGTGGCTAAACCTGCCTTTGGGGGCAAAAAAAAGATTTAAAATTACTGAAACCTGTAGCACAGGGTAAAACCACCTCCCATTCTGGGGAACCCCACACATGCCCTGGCAATCACTGGCCCCCAACTGCCAGCCCAGGGGGTTTGAGGAGCTCCAGGCTCCTGCCCCTTGTGTCCCCACTCCTTGCTCAACACCTGCACTTTCCTCTACTCCTCCCAATACCATCTGAATTTCCTGAATTTAATGACTGTGAGACGTAACTTTTACAGGCAGAGACAGTAAGTTAATTGGAGAGGGGCACTGCAGGAGCACTCCCAGCTGCTGGTACCTTCCTCTTACCAGGTCAACCTTGCATGGCACCTGAGAGAGTGAATGAGCTGCAACTCCCCCACAGAGGGGGAAAACATTCCAGTGGTAACACTTCAGGGATCTATAATCTGGGCAACTTCTCAGCACTTCAGTTAAGCAACCTGTTTGGTCCATGTGGGACACAGGAGTCACCGCCTGCAGCCAGGCCACTGAGGAGAGTGGCCTGGTGAGAATGCTCCTGGGGGTGGAGGCATGAGAGAAGGGAACCCTCTTGTTGTGTCCTTCCCCCTCCTGCTTCTTGTCTGCCCAAAGCTGAGACCTGGCAGGCGCCTTTTGGTTTCAAATCTGTGGAGCCCCTCAAGCTGCAGTGGCCAAGCGCTGCTGGAGCCTGTGGGCTCCGCTGGAAGGGGACAAGGTGCCAGTCTGGCCGTGCTGCATCTGCAGGACATATTTCTGCTGCAGCTCTTTCCTCATGAACCCACAGACCCACCAAGGCACGGCAGGAGCCGGACCAGCACACCGAAAGCAGTGGCTCTGAGAGCCTGCTATATGGATTTTTCCTGCTATTGATTAACCCATTTGGAGTTTATTTGCATTGAGCCTGCGTTGCATCTCATTTGCATTCTCCTAATGAGGCTCCTGCACAGTCAATGTCTCCTGTGCATTAACTACAGGCTCTAGCACAGCCCATGCTCTACGGAGCAACCCCCAGTACGTACTCCAGCTCCACTCTGGGGCTTGTACACCAGTTGGGACAGACTCCGGCGCTCCCAAATGTGTCCCAGCCCACATCAGGACAGGAGGTGCACAGTTTTAGAGGGGAGCAGAACTGGCTATGGAATAGCTGAGCACACTGGGAAGGAATGACCACTCACAACACATCCCTTTTACAGTAACAGGGCTGCAGAACACGCCACTGTTTGACAATAAACAGCAATTCCAGGGGAAGATGATTTCCTTTTCCAGAGAAAGGAATCAAGGCATTCCACTCCACCTTTTTCCATATTCCAGGAGCTCGGTGCCAGCCACTCCATCTGCAGCAGCGGGTATAGGCTATGTCCAGCTGCCAAAGCAGTAGCAGAAATAAATGTTGCTCCAAGTAAAGGTGGTGTGTGTCTAAGAGACCCTGAAAAACCTCTACCTCCTGGTTATTGTTAGAGGCACAAATGGATATCTACCATGTTATTTCTGGATTAGAAAAATAAGGGTACAATAGTAACAAACAACAGAAAAACCTAATAAAAGCAGAAAAAGACCTGAGCTGAACCACAATGCTGAGAGACAGGGAGGGTTACCATGAGAAAACACTGAGCAAAGAATCAAAAATTCAACTCACCATTGAGCAGAAAAAGGGAAAGCCCCAATGAAGAGTTGCTGGTTCAAATAACCATTAACCCTGGGCTCACTTCAGATTTAAAACTACAGCACTAACAAGCTACTGATCACTTTCTACACCTTCCCACCTGCCCTCTTGCACCTTTAGTTTCCATTTAGAGCACATGACGAACACTTCTGGGTGACATCTAATAGCACACAATTGGTGCTGTTGGAGGTCTGCAGGCATTGCTGCCACAAACCCAACCTGAGCTGCAGAACTACACTGTAGATGTCATCCAGTGCCATGGTGCCAATCCACCTGAAAGCAGACAGAAGTGGTCTGGCTGTTGCTTTGGAAGTGGGCAGGAGGCAGTGGAAATCACAAATGAAGCCACATGAACTATCAGAGCAAGATGTGCCATTTCTCTTCCTAACAAAAAAAGAGGGAGTAGTGCAATATTGGGACAGGAAGGCAGCTTCCCACAGCCTCAGGCAGCACATTCCTCATTTTTGAATTTGCAGGGTCGATGAAACAAGAAGCAACCCTCCGGACAACACAGAGGCCCCACACTGGAAAATTATCCCTGAGACTGGAAACTCTGGTTTGTCCAACGTCACTGAGCCTGTGGGGACAGCAAACAGGAATGGAAGAGGGTTCGATGCACTCACTCCGGGCTTTGCACAGGGAAAGCAGGGTGCAGTGCAGCTTTGGGGGTGCCCAGTGGTCAGCTCATGCCCCTGCTGGATCCCAAGGGATCAGCCTCACCTGGGGCTGAGCAGGGCCCTTGCTCCAATCCAATTTGCAGTGAAGGCACATGTCACAGGGCAGGAATGATGCCGATTTCCTCACTGGCACAGCTCTGGCAACTGGACAAGTCTCCACAAAAGCAGGAGTCCAATGTACCTCATGCTTCAGTGCCACTGCACAACACAGGGAAAGCTGCATGTCCTGACCTGAATTCAGTGCTGAAGCAAAGCTGCAAACACATCACAAATTACACTTCATTAGCTTGCAGCAAGGTGTATTTACACACACCACAATCCCTCTTTTGCTTTCTGATAATGACACACCTCAGCTGGAGGAAGGGGCAGCATCATCACCAGAGCTGGCCTAAGGCTATAGAAGGGGAAGAAAATATCCCAATATTACATGTTGCCACTTGCCTTTTATAGCCTCCTTCCTGATGACTCCAAAAGGAATAACTGCCTTCTTTTCCCTCCCAAATTTATACCCCCCCCCCTTGCAAACATCCAACAAGTTGCTTCCTATGTGCCTGCTTCCCTTTTCCCTCAAAGTATGCAACGGAGTCATGTAATGGAGTTGGATTCTGAACATCCCAACCTGCATTTAGCTGAAAGTTTGCTGCTTCTGTGTCCTGTCCAACAGACGGACAGTGTCCCCATGGCCTGGCTCTTCCCCACCTGTTTTGTGGTCTAATAAGAAATAATAATAAGAGATAATAAGAGATATAAGGGGGCTTATAAAAAGGAGGGACAGCAATGTTTTATATGGGCAGACAGAAACAGGACAAGGGGAAATGGTTTTAAACTAACAGAGGCTGGGATTAGATGGGATATTAGGAAGACATTCTTCCCTGTAAGGGTGGTGAGACCCTGGTACAGATTATCCAGAGATACTGTGGTTGTCCCATCCCTGGAAGCGTTCAAGGCCAGGTTGGATAGGGCTTGGAGCAACCTGGTCTAGCAGAAGGTGTCCCTGCCCATGGCAGGGGGTGGGATTGTATGGTCTGTAAGGTCCTTTCCAACCCAACCCATTCTGGGATTAGCTGTCCCTACTACCATCTAACAAAAAGAAAAAAAAAAACCCACAATGGAAGTACAATTATATTCTCTTTCCTCAGTTGATAAAAGTGTAGTTCATCACAGAAACCTGACCACTACAAACAGTTAATTTTCAGTTAGCGGTTTTGAGATTTAACAAACACATACTCAAATTGTTGTCCAGCAAAGCAGTGAAGCATTGCCAGGCCACTGTGACCACTGACACTGCCTGGCCGGCCCTGTGCAGCCACAGGGCACTGCTCCTCTCTCCCTTCCAAGGCAGGCAGGGCCCCAGGTTCCCTGCTCCCTTCCCTACCGACATCAGGGATCTGTGTTCTGCTGCCAAGCACCAGAACCAGTCACTGGGGCGGTGCAAAGAGCCAACAAACCAAAAAAGGCCTCGTCCATCAAAACTGGGAGCAACCTGAAAGAGAGCTCTGCCTGTGGATCCAAACACAGAGCAAGGAGGCAGGGAGAGCACAGTCGCATTGCCATGCAAAAGATCTCAAGACGTTAAGGACAAGAAAGCATGGAAAAGAAGACTTAAGAACAAACTAGAGTAACTTGCCAAATTAGAGTAACCTCCCCATAGGGCCTGTGGTCAATCCAGAATCCATTTCAGATAGACCTGGACACCACAGGAATGGAGTGCAGAGCCTCTGCGGGAAGGAGGGAAAGGCCCCCAGCAGCAACGAGGGCTTCCAGTGGCCCATCCCTGTGGGAATTTCCTGATGATCTGGAAACATTTTGTCACACACCTTCTTCCCAAGAACACACTGAGCTTTCTGCCACACCGTGTATCCTCTTCCACCCTTGGATGTAATAGATCATCTGCAGGGACACTGGACATCCCAGTGAGGAACGGAAGGCAGTGTCACTGTACCATAAGCTTTGACTAAATAACTAAACCCCATTCATTCACGTGTTTTCTGTAGACAAGGCTCTTTTGAGATTTATTTTAAATGACAAAAGACTAACAAAGAGCGTTATCCTGTTCAACATGCACACAGATGAATTCCTGAGGGTGACAGCCAAGGAAGTAACAACTGACTGGTACAACCCTGTGCAGGTTTGCAGAAACAACGCAAGCTTCTTACAGCCTGTCCCTGGGAACTGGGGACAAAGAAGAGACTGTCACCAGGGAAAATATATAAGATTTCCAATTACAACAAAATAGAGGCTCCAGTTCATGTGGAAATCTGATCTTTAAATCTTGCTGGCTCTGTTCTTCAAGACCTGGGTGACTACAGTCCAATAATTATTTCTCATCACAAAACTGTTCACTTTCTTTTACCTCAGGCAAAACAGAGCATCAGCAGTAAATACAAAAGGTTTTAACAGAATGGGAGGAATAAGATACCTCAGTGTTAGGGGTATGCAATGGGAGGAATTTTGCTGAGGCTTTGAGTCCTCTTCCACAACAGACAAATCACAGTGAGCAGCATGAGCATCTGACACAGTAGTGAAACAGTCGTCGTCACACCCCTGTAACACGAGCCCAGTCAGCTGAGTGCAGGATGATCTTGGCAGTGTTAGATTTATGGTTGGACTTGATGATCCTAAAAGGTCTTTTTCAACTTAAATGATTCTTTGAATTTGTATTGAATTTGTATTCTATGAGGAGCTGTTACAGAGGAGCTGGGGAAAAAAACAAGGTGTCCATGTGACAACTCTCAAACTCCTCCAACAACTGATCTCCTCGCAAAGTTCAGCATCCTCCTGTGTTCTACAGCAGAAAGAAGATTAGCTTCAGAAACTGCATTCAGGAAGCTGGCACGGCTGGAGAAGAGAAGGAATGAGTTATTTTTAAAGCTGTTTGCTGCCAAGGGAGCATTTGGCTCAGTCCACTTGCACCCCCTCAGGCAGCTCCACCACAACAGGAGCACAGTCATCAGGCTCTGCCTCAAAGTCCCATTTAAACTTCTTCGTTAGGTGAGCCTTGAACTTTTCAGCCTTCTTCCTTAGAGTCTCATCAACAGCAGCACTGCACATGCAGGAAAAGAGCACCTAAAAGAAAGAGCAGAGGTCACAGAGAGCCCAGCTATGGCACCAGCTGGGCATCTCTTTCCTACAAGGACATCATCAACATTCCTGGGAGCACCAGGAAGAGAGTCAGGTTAGGCCACTGGCAAGGGATGCACCAACCTGAAACCACTCCTGCTCTGGAGCTAGCTAACCAAAGCCTACACCTCTGATTTCACAGCCCCAAACCCATCCCATCCTGCCTTCACGACATTGAGTAGGTGCACTCAGGTAAGAACTCTGTTTGAAGCACGTATATGCATGTAATTGAATCTGTATTATGGAATTCTGAAATATGCTTAAGTGTGAGCTAAGGAAAATGTCCGAGCAGAAGGAATTAAAAAAAAAAAGCATTATCAGTAGCTGATTTTCCAGCATGTGTCCAAAAGGCCAAGAGGTAATTGTACCCATTGTTTCCATGGTTAGAGATCTCTCAAAGTAATTTTGTAATATGGTACCACCAACACCTTAGATACAGAGGAAACTCAATAAAAAGACCTTGAAGGTAAGAGAGGAATGAGAGCTCTCTGGAAAAAGTCCAGTTATCCCCAGCACAGCCTTGGGGACAGGACACTGAAATCTGGACTAACCTCTCCACTCCATCATCCAAGAACAAATGTATTAACATGTCACAGATTCACAGCTTCGGTTGGCACCTGGAGAGTGAAAGTATCTGTGTAAGATTAACAGGGCATTTAGCCCCAGAGCTCATCTCTCATCAACCTGCTTCTGCTCCTCTGCTGAACTTGTGACTCAGAATTAATTTCCATAAGAAGAAATTTCCTCTAGGGAAAATGCAGCCTCATATTTGGGAGAGAGCTACTGACAGCTGGATAAAACACTGACAACAAGCAGCAAAGTTTGTTGCTTTGTGAATGATCATGTCTTTTCCTTGTTCATTGTACCGTGACATTACCTCTTTCTAAAAGAACTTGTACACAACAAGGCTGCTGTTAAAGAAAAAACATTAAAAGACTGTATTTCCCACTTCTCCTGCACATTAAATCAGCTATTTGATCAAGATCTTTTTTTCTTTAAACATTGTTAGGGCTGCACAGTCAGTGGTGGTTGTGCTGTAGTCTCCTCACCTTGGATCAAACTCCAAAAATAAAAAGTTGCTGTATTCAGAGCTGAGCAGGAGCTCCACCGACAATACACTTCCGCACACACCTCTGCGCACCTGCCCACACCCAGTTAACTCTGAGGGGTGTGTGCCAAGTGACTGGCTAAGGCAAGTCCCAGGGGTTCCCTTGCACTATTCCAGGGAAATCCCAGGAGAGTAGAGAAGCAGAGAACTCTGAGTGAGGAGAGGCTCACTTAGCAAGACAAAATTGTTCTTTGTCACTAGGAATTGATGACTCCTGCCAAGGCTTAAGGGTGGTCCATTGTGCCAGCACAGCTTCTGCTGCTGAAGTAAAACACAGACTGATGGAACCCAGGGGGGGCAAGACTCAGGCAGCCAAAAAGGAAAGATAACGAGCAATAAGGGTGCTTCCCAAATTCCCCTCAGATAGAGAGAATGGCTGGGTGACATATTCTTTGTAGTACTGTAAGCTGACAATGCACAGAGTTGCTCTGAGTGTACTGCAAACAGAGCTGGGTTTTTCAGTCCTGTGATATGACAGAAAAAAATCTACCAAGAGAAATAAAATATTAATTAAAAAAGTGAGACTTGTAAGAATCCAAATTTAAAAAAGTCACTTGATTAAAGCAATGTTTCCCACACCATTTTACCCAGCAAATTAAAACCAAACACCCTCAACCCTCCCCAAATCTATAGCAAGAACTTGGGAGTTAAAAGGAGAGGAATGCACCTGTTTTCTGGGAAAGGAGAAGGCATCAAGCATCAAGCACTTGAAGCACTACTACCCCTAATTACTGCAGGGATTGTTTCCATTGCTGAACTTCATCAGTGTGTCTGGGTTTGGCTTTTTTTTTTAAACTAACTTTTGTTTAGCCAATTTGCTGCACTGTCACAGTATGGTCACAGCCAGTGGGAGTAACTGGTTTCACTGTTGAATCACATATTTGCCCCTGCCTGTCTCAGCAGAAGCAGCATTTGCTGCATGTTGGAATAATCATAAATTCCCTCTGGATAAGAACTTGACTACAGGAAATCTTCAGCTCTGCTTAAGGCTAACTGGAATGGAAAATCTTCTAAAATACTATCACTGCCCTAAGCTCAAGTTTTGCTGCAGCTTCCCTGCATACTAAGCAAACCATTCAAGCTGCTCAAAAATCAGCATCATCAGTCCTTTATGCAAAAGTTTTTAGTGTTGGTTTGTTGGTTTTGTTTTTAAAGAATGAGTGGTTTTGGACAAAAATACACAGACATCATCTTGCACTTGCTCAGCCTTTCTTGAAACTGTTCAGCTCAATGTAGGCAAAGGTCTTAAAACCTTCTAGGACAAATCTGCTGGTGCAGTCCAGTTGCATTAGATGTGCCAGTCCAGAACTCCAAACCCATGGCACTGTGGCACGTTGCTTCCAGCACTATTTGCAACATTTCCTCTCCCTGCCAAACTCAATTTTACACTGCATTAGGCTCTTCAAGGCATAATTTGAGCAGACCAAATGCTGAGATGAGAAGCAAATGGCATTTCTCAATGAATAACATAGGGAAAAAGTAAAAGAAAATCCTCGTGTGCTTAGACAGGCTCACTATCTCCCACACAGCTCAATAGCAGCTTGATTCCTTTTGCAGCTTTTCCCCAGATTTGCTCTGATGCCCTGTATGCCCTGCTTCCCACTCCTATACCTCAGGGGACAGTCACAAATGTACCTGTAACGTGCTGGTTAAAAAGTTGTCCTGGGAGACAATGTCCACAAAAAAATCTGCTGGGATTTCATTGAGCTGGTGATACAGCACAGAAATGAGATTGATGTAAAGGTCTTGGTACTTCCCTATGGCATCTTCAGATCGGCACAGGATGTTCAGGAGTCTTTTCCAGTGCTCAAAGGCATCGTACACGTTCCCAATGAGGAAGCAAATGAAAGCAAACTGCAGCTCACCTGTGTGGATTCAGAAAACAAAACACACATAAGACAGATATCCAAGGTATGTGTCCTCCTCAAAGCTCTGTAAATGATTGATAAGTGCTGGTTTGACTTTTGCACATCCTGCCAGCAGTGACTGATACTCTGACCATTTGCTGATGCTCTGCTCTTCAAAGAAGAATGGGGCAGGTCACCTGTAACTGTGATTATCATCATTGTAGAGGGACTTCACAGGACTTTACAAACCCAAACAATGAGCCAGACCTTGCTGTTATTTTGTGAGCATTCAGTCCTCCTGAGCCTGGGTGTCCAGAGCCACATGGGACTGCAAACGCCACTGCCATGGAACACTGAGCAGTACATTCACAGATGTGTTTGCCTTGTTGAATTAAGACCCACAGTCCATCCCACTGGATGCTTGGCATCAGCTAGTTTGCCACTGTTTCCTATGGTAACTCATTGTTTATTCTACAGTTGTCTTTGATAATTTTGAAAAAGAATAAATTGTATAACAGTAATAGAGAAAAAACAGAAGGGAAAAACAAAAGCTCAGTAGCCTCAGCTGTAAAACTGGGAGGGCTTCTCCCTCCATCCTACTACAGAACAAAACCCCGCTCCAGGACCTCCACAGCTTCAGTATTTATTTGCATCACAGGTTGTATAAAAGGCTGGGGAGTAGTTGAGCCCTGGGAGATGCAGCCCTGGCTGAGGGGGTTTCCACATCACAGCACTGGCACAGCCCAGACGCTGCCACGGCAAGTCTCTGGCAGCACATGGAGCAAACACAGAGTACACACATGCACACGGACAGCACACAGAGCACACGTCTGAGCTGCCACTGTGCCAGCCTGGTAGGGGCCAGTTGCTGCACCGGGAACCACTGGCTGGGAGAACCATACCCCCTCCCCACACATCAGGAACAAGGATCTGGGGGTGTTCAGCCCCACTCAACACTCCCAGGACTCTGTAAGACCTGTCCTCAAGAGATTGACTTAACAGGCAAAGTGCCAGGCTGGTGCCAGATGACAGACCTGTGACTGCTGCTTTTGACTTAACCTGAGGCAATCTGGGCTCCAAGAGCAGCACCCAGAAGCAGGCTGACAGCTCCTGACCTCCAGCATCACATCCTTACACCACAGAGTTGTACAACAGAATCACAGAATGTCCTGAGCTGGACAGGACTCAGAAGGATCATCGAGTCCAACTCCCATCCCTGCACAGGACACCCCAACAACCCCACCATATGCGTTGCCCAAACACTCCTCAAGCTCTAAGGCCATGAGTACTGCCCTGGGGTCCCTGTTCCAGTGCTTGACCACCCTCTGGGGGAAGAATCTTTTCCTAATATCTAGCCTAAACCTCCCCTGACACAGCCCCAGCCAGTCCCTCAGATCCTGTCACCGATCACAGAGAGCAGAGATCGATGCTGCCCCTCTGCCCCTTGCGAAGAAGCTACAGACCCCAACGAGGTCTCTTCCCCAGGCAACTGGAACAGGCTCTGTTGCTGCTAAAAACAACACCAACTTCTGTCCTGCGACAAAGAGAGATGCCTCAGGGCACCAGGGAACAAGAACAGGTTTCATCCCAGAGCTCTCATTTCACAGTCACAGAATGGTTCAGGTTGGAAGGGACCACAGTAGGGTATCTGGTCCAACCTCCCTGCTCAGGCAGGGTCATCCCAGAGCATGTGGCACAGGATTGTGACCAGATGGGTCTGGAATATCTCCAGTGAGGGAGACTCCACAACCTCTCTGGGCAATCTGTTCCAGTGTGCTGTCACTCCACAGGAAAAAAGTTCTTCCTCATATTCAGGTGGAACTGCCTAGGTATCAGTTTCTGCCTGTTGCCTCGCATCTTATTGCTGGGAACCACCGAAAAGGGCCTGGCTCCACCTTCTTGGCACTCCTTTAGATATTAACATACAATAATGAGGTCGCCTCTCAGTCGTCCGTTCTTGAGGCTGAACAGGCCCAACTCCCTCAGCCTTCATGACTTTATACCCCCAAATGGGCTATAACCCAAATAAGGGTATAAAGTAGGTGTGCCCCGGGCGGTGCTCACCGAGCAGCTCCAGCGGGCGGCCGGGATAGCGCTGCTCCATCACCCGTTCCAGGGCGTAGCTGAGGTCCATGCTGTGCCGAGTGATCTCCTCGGGAGTGGCCCCATCGGGGTACAGCTGCCTGGGCAGCTCGGTGAAGCGGATCTGGGTGCCG